AAAGAAAAAAATATTTAATTTAAAATTTACAAATGATTTTAAATACAATTTTTGAAATACAAATTTTAAATTTAAGATTTGCACTTTCAGTTTATGATCATTTTCTTGTTATTATTATAAATTATAAATAATAATGTTTTTGTAATAAGTTTTAAAATAGTTTTTCAATTATGTCGTTTTGAAGCAATGCTTGAATTTAATTATAATTTTTAATGTATGGATGACCACTGTCTTTTTCTTGTATCTTAAAGTGCCATTTGATGCATGATGAACGTAATTCATTTTTCTTTTAAATATTAATTAAAATAAATAATAATCTCAGAATTGTGCAGTGGAAGATGCAATCTACTTCCAGCTCTAGCAAGTCTTCTTTTATATGGAATTATGTATACTAAGAATGAAACACGATCTTCTCTAATTTTATTAATTGTTTTAGATACGTTACAATATTAAAATAAAAGACATTTTTTGTAACTGTTCAATTTTATTTTAAGTGATTGAAAACATTTCTTAGAATTAAAATCAATATTGTATTTTTTAATGAATTAAACTATTAAGAACTATAAAAAAATATTTTAAACAATAGTTTTATGGCTTTTAGTGATTATCATATTTTGCAATAATTATATATCATTAAAAGAAAAACTGTATTCGGTATTAAAAAAAAATTATTTTTTCAACATGCATTATGCTTACTTGTTGATTTGTATTATATTTGATAGCCGATTTGTAAAAACGTGCTGTTTATATGATTGGAGCGACTATATGTTCTTTCAACATAAAACGACAATCCGAAATGGATATTCTGTTACAAATATCTTGTCTTTCTCCATGTATTATCTGCGAAATGTGTGATGTTAAAAATTAATCAAGTAATAGAAACATTATATACTTTTTAAATTATATCCTTTTAAATATTAAATTATATATATTTATCTTTTGCATACTATGCAGAGCTTTTCTTCTCGATTCCACAGCACGTATTCCACAGCCAATTCATAAATCGTTATGAGAATGTAATTAACAGGATGTAATTAGCACGATCGATTGTACATTGAGAATCTCTTTGAGATTACTACTAGACATTAGCGGTATGAAGGATTACCAAATATGTAGTTATACCAGAAGCTATCTGCGAAAGGAACGAATGAAAAATTTATTAAGGAAGAATTTTCGAAATAATTTTGTGCAGCGACGGATTAAATAAAACACAAACTGCAAGAATCTTGGATTACTGATTCTAAAATCTTTATATTATTCTTACCGAAAGAAGCAATGGAAGATCGATGCGTATGATTCCATAAGAAGCAAAGAAGTGTACTTGCTGTAGCTGGAAATAAGTAACAGCTTCTACACAGCAATCCTGTAATTATTTTAAAAATTATTTATTTTAATTAATATTTAATAAGAAAAATTAGAAAAGTTGTCTAGAATCTAGAATAAAATGTTAATTAAATAAATGACGTACTTTATAAAAGATTCAAATTAGAATTAATTAAATTAGCAAAAAACTTTTATTTTTACCTGCATAAAGTTTTTCTTAACAAGAATGGCAGATGATGGTGTAAAGGCGATCTTGCCAACACGATTAGCCTTTGAAAAAAGAATAAGAGGTAAGCTCGTCAAAGAAACTTTTCCTGCTCGAGAATAAATTAACGTACTTGGGTTGCAGTCATGTGACAAATGATGGTAATGATCAGCAGATTTGTCACACAAGCAGATACCAGTAAAATTTCTCTCACTATTAACAAAGGTTGTAAGATCGCGCCATTATTGATCGTATAGATGCGAGTAAGTGTATTAAAGGACATACAAAAGATCCATAGCAAAAGCTGTATCGAGTACACGGAATTTATCATCTCGGTCGCATTAGTGAGACACGAATGCAACCACCACACTTCCTGCAAATGAAACTGCTTGTCCAAGCGATCCACCACCATGATTTTGCCATCTGATTAAACATACAATGTTGCGTGTGATTATTCTTGAATGTTAATTAAAAACAATTTGATTGCTACTTGTACTTAAAGAATTGTTAATTATTAGATGGGAAAAAGTTCGTGGCGTTTTTTCTAATAAATGGCATTAAAAAAACGCCACGAACTTTTTCCCACACCTAATATGTACATTAAGTCCTATTCACATATGTAAAATTTATTGAAGATTGCAATGTTGCAATCGTATAACTGCATTTGATAAATTCCGTTCACATAAAAAATGAATTTAATAAATATATTTTTTATCTCAAATTATTTTTTTTGTCTCTTAAAAATAATATTTTTCTAATTTTACTTGGCATTAATTAAACTTATTTCCGTTATTTCATCGAAAGTATTATTCGCATTTAAAATGAATCATAAGTCAATGTCATTTATTTTTCAGAGTTTCGATCCTCAGAGCTATCCTCTCTTTATCGGTTGAACTGCGTGGGAAGACAGACATGTTACGCAGACAGTAAACATTGATAACAAGTAAACGGCGAACGTGTTTCAATAAAACATTAAAATTAAAAAAATTTGCAAGAGTAAAATAATTAGAGAGTTAAAAAACATTAGAAAATAATAGCTTTACATTATTAAATTTTTTAAAAGGAAAAAGATGATGGATCGATGGATTTAAATTGCGATGAACAAATCTTTTTTTCTTAAAAAATTCTTTTTCTTTATGTTTCCACGCTCTTGTATGTAAATTGTGATTAATAGCTAAAAATTGTTAAGAATGTATACAACAAAGTTGCAAATTAAAAAAATGTAAATGAATTATTAAATGATATCAGCAAATTACTAACGCATTGGTAAACACTATAGACATATCATTCTTTGCAATTAATCTACCTTCGGGCAGGAGCAACGATTCACAAAGACGATGATATCTCTCATATAGAAGAGATGACAGGCTGGCGAATGTTATTAATTGCATCGTTAGTGTTGTATTAACAACAGCATAAGTTATACCGTTAAATATAGAATCTTTGGGCTCCACGCTACGAATGAAAATTACGAATAATAGTATAGTCGTACGATAAAATTGATCATGAAACAAAATGAATTTGCGAAATATACCACATTATTAATACGATCTTGTTCCTAATTTTTTAATGATTAATATTTTTACTTTTGTATTTATTACTACAATATAATTTCGTATTTTGTAAAGTGATTACATATAAATGTTTATAAATTATTCCGGTATAAATTGGTTTGATATAATCATATCGCTTATATTGTTGCATATTAAAGTTATTAAGACATGTATACAGGGTGTCTCGAAATTTTGTGTAATAAATAAGAAAATGCAGTACTAAAAAGTTGATAACAAATTCTGAAAAAATTCTTAAAGTCCTACAAGAAAAAAATAAACAATTTTTATCTCTTGCAATTTTTCTGTAAAATTGATAGTATTTAAGAAAAAAATTATTAAAGACCAATATATTCGGCAATTTTTAGTAATTAATATCTTGTTAATTATTGCGAAAATTGCAAAATGAAGTGGACTCGATTTAATCGAAAAGTTCGCTCTATATAAAAGTGCTTGATAAAAATTTCGTGATACTCTGTATTAGTCATCAATATTAGAGTTTAAAATAAACTCTTCATCAATATTAAAGTTTAAAATAAACTTTTCTCTTCTGAAATACATGAAAAAATTTATATAATGAAACTCGTTCTTTCGTATTGTTATCTCACGTGTCATGTCATTCTTGTTATAATATGTTGTAAAGACTGTAATTCTCATCGTATATGTTTAGAGAAGTAAGACAAGATTTTTACATTAAAAATACAAGTGTTAAGGCTCGAGTGATATGTAATCAAATGAATAAAAAGAAAAGTTTATATAAGAGCCGATATAGGTTTTTCATGTATACAAAATCTATACCTATAATGTATATTAATAAAAATCTAAATGTTTCGACTACATTATTTTGGTCATCTTCAGTAACTTCAGACGCAATATAAACTATTAAACGCTATTAAAATGAGATGCTTGGTAAATTTATAATAATAAAGATCTGTCCAAATTTAAAATCTTGAAAACATCATAGTATTTGTTTAAATATTGTGTACGTAAGTCAATCGATAAAAAAATATCATTAATATCGGCTGTATAGACTTTAGTATGAGAATAATGCATGGCTTTACGAAGATTAGTCATCGTACAAGAACAAAATATATTTTTATATTAAGTACCATCTTAACAATAATTAAAATTTAAGTTTATAATGAATAGCACGTATTTTTTGATAGATGACAAAATTTAATTATTTTTTTAACATGTAGCATATAATCTTTAAAATCTTTTTATATTATATATATATATAGGATGTCGCTTTATACAATATTTATTTTACCAACATCGAGAATGACGTTCTGATTGTTGATCGAAACGCATGTATTTTATCACAAATGTTAAATATTCGCAATTTCAATCTATAGCTTTTACTCTTAGCTCTTTTACATTATTAATGATATTATAAAGATATTATACTTAAATAATTTTTTTTAATAAGATTTTTTTGTAATAAGAATTATTATTATTCTTTTTTGATACCTGCTTACATAAAATTTGTTAATACTCACCAGAACGTTATATATCCAACTATTGTCCAAAACGATAACATAACAAAAACCAATGACCAACAGATATAACGAATCATGTGAGGGTATTTAGGCTCCTTATATTTTGTTGTACGATCGAAAATGCGTAAATGCGAAAGTGCAGCTCGTATCTTCCAGTTATAACAATACGTCATCACAATATCACTTAAAACGCAGCTATACGAGAGACCTGTCCTCACCACAGTGAGCATCAGCAGCCTCGGTCCAATCATGTCATCCCAGCGGAGCATGTAAATATTCGCGATGCAAAGACTAACATACAAGAGTGCAAATAGAACCGAATAAATAGTGCCATACTTCATCATCATAATATCGTTCTCTGTAACAAGAAAAAGTCCACATCCAAACAGTCTCGCAATATACAAAAGAGGTCGTATGTCACTCAGAGACACCATTTCCTATTATCGATCCTGACGTTCGAAAATAAAAAAGAACAAGAAAAAATAAGAAAAGTTCACGTTGAAATCTTCTTTGATACTCTTATCAATTGCTTAATTATTCCTCTTATTCTTCTGTTTTTATGATTTAAGAGCTACTTAAAGCGAAAAATTGCAGTACCGAGTCCGATAAATCACAACACATTTTTCTTATATTTGATTCAAGAAAAAATTTTTTCTATTTTTTTAATTTTAACGCTCAATAAAGAAAAATAGAGAATGCTCTCCTAAATTCTTCTACTTAACCGCTCCAATATTAGTGATGTCAGTAAGATAAATGAAAAGCTTGCGGAGCGCATGGCCTTTCATATCCCACGATATTAACTTGCCACTATGATAGTGTAAATATTATCGTAACGAACAATTAACATCTGTCTCGTAAAAAATTTCACGATGTGATAAATTGACGTTCACCACCGACTGCCTTCTATTCGTCAGGATTACAATTTCCTGGGTTACTGCTGGCTATTTACAGAGAAGAAAAAAAAATCGACGCACGAAGGTTTTAGCGAGCACGCGCCGAGCGTCGTACTCGTCATAACATTATAGATGCCTTTCATTTAGTGACACAAGTTGACACAAATATTCTATTTTTCTTTGTATTTCATGAGTAACAAAGACAGATTGATATTTGTGTACTAAGTGGAAGGCACCCTCGCTGATAATCACGATTAGATTGCTCCATTATTAACAAGCCACAACATGAAAAAATTACATCTAAATGACCAGAATAAAACATAAATAAATGGAATTTGTACTCGAAGAGAATGTCTTGCTAATTACAAATAAATTACAAACAAATGTTGCCATCTCTTTCCTATAAACAGATATAAAATTAAAGAGGAAAATAATATATTTTATAAAAATATGAAATAGGGACAAAACCTACGTAAATATCATGCGTGAAAAATAATTTTAATCACTGATTAGCCTAGAGCCTAACTTAGACTAGTTTAGAGACGACAAGTTTAGAGGGACATTTTTTGAAAAAAAAGTTCTAAAACAATAATCATTTTTTGTCATGCGAATGATTGGAAAATTTGTTATTGATTACTGTAGATTTACTCGTTCCAATATACTTGTATATTATAACTTCTATTCATTTCAACAAGCGCATTGGATCAAAAAAACGTATAAAGATATTCCAAATATGGATTTTTTAACATATAAAGATTTCAAAAAAGTCCGGACACCTGAATATCTCAAAAAATATAAGTTTTTTCAGAAAAGTGCTTCAGACAAAAGGATTCAAAAAGATCTATATTTACTAATCTTATCAGTTAGGGTGGCGTCGCCAAGATCATATCAAGGTTATATCGATTTTTTTAAAGCAGACTCTATTTTTTATTCCAGAATCTAATAGCTGGTGTCAAGAACTTTTCAAAACACTATAATCAAGTTATTTTTTATAAAGTACTTTTTGAATTATAATAATTGAAAGTTGTAACACTACCGATATTAACATTATCCGACCGGTATCCGACCGATGGTTAAACTGCTTGAATAAGTAGTTGTTCAGAATCATGTCCGGGATAACATTTGTTGAGATCAAAGTCACATTGGAGATTGTTTCTCTTATTTTTATTTTTGCATTGAAAATTCATTTTTATGAATTTAAAAGAAAATAACTTTAAAAGAAAATAACTTTTCTCAATCTCTACAAATGATCCTTTTTTTTAATGCTCGTTTCGCCGACGTGATTGTTCCTCAATTGAAAAAGGAGTGACAGAAACCTTAATCGGCCTGCTGATAAAACTTATGCGGTAATACAACAGAGAAAGATTTTACATACACATATATATAT